GACACCGACGTAATGCAGGGGTACCGGCTGCCTCATCGTGCAGCCGTTGATGTGTCTCAACCCAACCTGGGCGGCCAAGATGGACAAGTGAGTAAAAGAAGAAAGGACAAAATGCATGGAAGGAACACTGCGGAAGTTTCTTGCAGAAATACATATATGACGGCATTGAGCAGCTGTGCCGCAGAGATGATCGCGATCATCCCCTCCTTGTGCGCCCTGGAGGCGGGCTTGACCTCGAATCAGGACAACTGGATCGCCAGTCCCGAAAGCCCTCCTTCTGGACAGAGATCGGCGGGTTGAAGCAAGGTCCCTTTTCCAAGAAGCAATTCATCTTGACATTTGAAAGGAAAAATGTCAGAATGTCGCTGCCTGGAAGTGGAATTAGTCCTGGTCGTTCATGGGCCCCCGTCCCGGAGCGCAGCACTCACAGCGGGGCCGAAGATGTGGTTCATGAACCGTTTGAGGAATCAAGCTTCGAGGCAGACTAAATGTCCCCTTGGAGATAAGATCGAGGTGGGTTTTCCAACGTGTTTACAGCCCCCTGGATCCCTCTGGCTCCCTCTGGTAAGGCTGATTGACCAATTGGCCTGACTGTTGGCCACCCTGGCCGCTGGAGTGCCGAAGAGAAAACACCGCCCTCAAAACCCCCGACAGGCAGCGAGGTACTTTGGTCTGGTTCTTCGACTTTCCCAGAACCGCATGTCTTGGCACCACCAACTACCCCCGTCCGCTGCATTATCACGGAAACGGGCGAATGAGGTGGCTTGCCAAGACTACACCAAATCCCTCCAGCTCAGCCCACGAGCCAAACCAACCCACTCACATCCACCAGGAAGCTCCAATTTCTCAACCAACCTGATGAAGCTTGTCAGTCTAGCGCCTCTCGTGCCAGGCCTCAACTGGTGCGATGGACCTTTTTCTGAAGTCGACGAAGGGGAAACACTGCGGTCAAGGTGGATGCATTGGATCGTGAGAAGGACCCTGGACCGGAGCTCCGCCAAGAGTAAGGTACAGGGCTGATCAATCGCCTGTCAGACTACCATTTGCCAATCCTCCTTGGGATGTATGGTAAGATGTCGTCGTTTGCGTGTTGTTCCAAGCTAGTGTGCTTGAGAGCCTATTAAAGACCTTGGCACCCTCCGCCCCGGGTCAGCAAGCAAGCAGGCTATCTACCGTCCCCTCACTCCCGTCATCTTGTGCAGGCTCTGTGTAACCATCAGCCTGATTTATCACGACCCAATTCCCCTCAACACACCACATTCTCCCGAGTGAGACTGCGTACGATAACAACAAGAGCAATGACATTCATACTCGATACTCGCATACCAAAAGGTGGTGGTAGCAGTGGAGGAAGAGGCAGCTCCGGCAAATCGTCCTCCAGCAAGTCAAAATCAAAATCCTCAAAGAGCAAATACAAGAGCAAAGGCGGCTACGCAGCCGGCGGCGGCGCAGGCGGTGGGAGCGGCGGCAACAATGGCTTCGCGCAGCTCCCCGTCTGGGCGCGCGTGCTCATCATCCTCGCCATCATCTGGTTCATCCTCTTCCTGATTGCATTCACCTACTACTTGATGAAAGGTGTGTCTATTTGCCCAACATCATCTGAGGTTTCTCACAGACATCCCGACTAACACAAAGCAGAACTCAAACGCAAAAAGGAAGGCAAAACATTCCGCCTGGGCCACGTCTTCGGCCACGCCCTCCTCGTTTCCACCGGCCTCTGGATCCCCGTCTTCCTCTACAAGAAGTTCATCGGCAACAAGAAGAACAAGAGCGGCACCTACGCCAAGATTGAAGACGGCCACGGCAAGGAAGGCAATAATCACGATTCCTGGTACGGCGGCGCCGCGGGGGTTGAGAACAAATACGACCCCGTGAGCGGCCCGCCTCCTTACCGCCCACAGAGCCCGAACCCAGCTCCGGCACCGGCACCGGGGCCGGCGCAGACCGGGGCCGCTGCGGATTACTACATGCCGCAGCCGCCTTCGCATACCGCTCCCACGCAGCATCCCCCTCAGTATGGCTAAGCCCAGGCCCTGACGAGGTAATGTGGCGCGGCCATTCATCCCGATGAACGATTAATGTTTTGCTTTACTTGCCTTCACCAGTGCGATACCCCCATTTGTCTAGAAAAGCGTTCTTGTGTATTTTTAAGGTTGTTATGTCACGTATGAGAGTATTGTGCATAGACGGAAATTGAAGTTTTGTATCATACTCATTGAATCTCATAACGCCGTTCCTTGCGGAGGCTGGAATCTAACGATCACTTTTGTTCTTGCGAACATTGTCTACTGCTTTTGGTCCAGTCTATCCCCACCCGATTTTAAGAAATTGCTTGCCTCCAGGGCTGGTTCGCACCATATTCGTGGAAATATTGTTCTCCCGCAACCCTCTGATGGTTTCTGCAGTCGAACTTGATGCTCGATGCGTCCCTGATGGGGCATTTGTTCGCGGGTAGCGGTTATCAGGAGTTGTCTTGAGCTGGTGCTATGGATTTCCAAGCTTTGCCAAGCAACTGTCAAAAGAGTCAGTATGAACATAGACTTGAAACAAAGAGACGCAACTTACCCGACTTTCCGTCTTTACCATTCCTCGAGTCTTGATGCAATCCAATCCGAAGCTCTCGATCTCTACCACCTCATGTTAGAATCCCCTGAACGCAAGCGTTGGTAGCAGTAGCCAGGAAACTTACCATGGCGCGACGCGGTATCGTCTATTCAGGATGTATCCTTCTGATGGGTTTCCCGCAGTGCTTGGCACCCTCATCTCATGGGCGGCGGTTTGGGACTCCCTTGCCAGTTCTGTCCCGAGACCGATCCCGAGGTCTTTTCTCCGCTCTTCCCGACCTTCGGATCATTCGCCGGCTTCTCCATCGCAGAAGCGGAGCCTGCTTTCGTACCCACGGCCTTCTTGCCGCCGCTGGCATTTCGGGGAGCTTGGAGTCGGTCGAGGTACAGCCCCGTCGTGTCGTAGCCGGTTCGTCCCATTTTTAAGGAGGTGCGCCGCTCCGCGCAACGTCGTATGCGTGACGGCCTGTGTCTTATTCGTCGACAAAGCGAATTTTTCTTAGATCTAGAACGTTGAAATGGAGGTTCCCGGTATGAACTCGTAGCCAACTTGGAAGTTGGTCGTCAGCGTTGAGGTGGTAAAGATGGGACCGTCGATCTGGAATTTCTGCGCGTATAAATCTTGTTGGTTTTGCCGGCTTCTCTTCTCAATGACATGATATGGGTCTGAGTGTTGTTGAGTCCTTTCTACCTCTTATGACGCGGATATAAGTGCGGTGGTGAGTATGTTTCCTTTCCAAGGCCAAAAAAAAAAAAAAAAANGGGTTTTTTTCCTTTCCAAGGCCAAAAAAAAAAAAAAAAAAGGGTGAAGAAGAGCCCTCTTTTTCTTCGCGTCGCAAATAATGGGACGTTTGTCTTTGCTTTATACCAGAGTCATCCATACTTGTTGTTCTTTTGTATGCGCTGGCGTTTCTTCACCCGAAAGAGCCTAAGATTGCGAAATTTGCTTTCCCTGGCATTTGTGTTTGTCTTTTTGTCTTTTCTTTTGACTCACCTTTGTTCCAGGGAGGGAATCTTGGTGTACCCTTTGCCTTACCATTGAATAATTGACACCCCTCTGGTTCACCCCTTCCCCCAAACATGGCTTCGTCAAAAGGGATGAGGGGTTCGGTTTTCCTGGATCCTGGGCTGCCAAACTTTTGCTTTTTCTCAGTCATCTCCTTCCCCCGGGAAAGGTGATATGATGTCTCTGTGCGACCATTCCCCAGGGTAAGACATTGGCTAACGAGCGAGCGAGCCGGCCGGTCATATTTTGTTTTGTTGGGGCGAAGGGAGAGGGGGCACAAGCAATCTTGTCTCTGCGCAGGGCCTGGGTTTTGCGGCTCCGCCCATTGTCTCCTTTGGAATTGCCGTTCCTTCCCAGACAATAGCATCTTTTCCTGAACGTGAGACCCAGGAAATCCAAATCTCCCCGAGATTGCGGAGACCGAGGCAGCTGTCAGGCCAGGTGGCTGGGACCTAGGCTCGGCGGCTGCATTACGTCGATGCCTTGGAAATCGCAGGGGATCACGACCGCCTCCCGCTCCAGACGCCCCCCTCGTTCCGCGATGCCGGTGAGGGAGGTCCCCGAGGATTTCGGTGAAATGACCGGTCATCTCGGTCATATACTCAAAGGGCGACGGCCCTTCATGGAACGAACGAGGCTCCTGGGCTGTGCCTGGCCAGAAGGGATGCACGACATTTGTTGTCTTGTTCCGTCATGTCAGGGAGCTCTTACGGAATCCTGTTCCCTTTGGCCTCGAGATTGCAATCAGCCGCCGAGGAGGGCAAGGAGGGCTCTTCGTTTTCTGGCCCCTCCCGACATAATGGGTTGGTCGCTGGTGATCTTCGCATCTTATCGCGATCGCGATCCAGGGAAGGTTTGATGCTTGGTGTCTCAGGAGACGTGACCCAGTCTGGGCCAGGGAGGGGAGTGTCCATTTGTGGCGTCGGTTTAGGTAGCCTGGCTGTGCCTGACAACAGCTGAGCAGTGCACAGCTTCCGGGTCGTCCGTAAACATGGAAATTTCTGGGCCAAGGGGGTGCAGGTAGCAGATATGTCTGTCTTGATGTCGTCCATAGCTGTTACTGGAACAGAAGGTGATGAAGCATCTGTATGACTTCTTCTGCCAAGAACAAACGCAAGCAACGTTGCTGAATCGAACTTGACGACTTAGACCACCCGCTCAACCGTCTCTCAAAACTGACTCATCGATAAGTTCGTAGATTCATACTTAAAATTTAGATATGCAAGCAGATTCGCACTGAGGTATCATCAGCAGCACAGACAACCCTCGTTTCCGAGCTAAATATCCAAAGACTCCTTCCTCCCAATGGGCCATTAGACCGTAGTACATATAAAAGGCCGCCGAACTCCTAAAATCCGAGCAAATCGAACATCATTAGCATCTTTCTCCATCTTTGGCGCATGTTCCCATTCTTGATATCTTTAGTCCCCTCAAGGCCAGGTGCTGGACCCAATCTTCTCACTGCCTGAGACGTGCGTTTTGATGGCATCGCCTCTCCAGTCCATCGTCTCAAAGACCTGAACGTTGCCCCACCATTGAGGCGGCCTGGCAGATGTCAGGTACAGCGTGAAGAAGATGATCAGCGTTGCCACAATCAGGCCACAGTCCAAGGCTGCCGAAGTGATGTAGTTGTACTGAAGCCACCAGCCAGTGTATCTGCGCTTGATGAAGAAGTTGAAGATTGTGCCGACGGTGGCCCAGCAGAGGTAGATGTAGACACTGGCGGGCGGCAACCAACCGGAGCCACCGTACAGAAGGGGCGTGTTGACGTAGCGCCAGATGCTCTTGGGCCACTTGCGGGCAAGGAACCAGGTGATGACAGGGGTGATGGCACCAACAAGCCAAAACCACTGGAGGGACGAGTAAAGAGCATTGCCGGAGAAGATTCGAGCAGGTCCAATTGCACCCCAGATAATCGAAGCCGTGAAGAATACGCGACCGCCGGGGCAGGTGTAGTTGCTGGGCTGATCGGGCTGGCAAACATCGGGAATGGCGCCTAGGGCCCAGTTCATCACAGCAATCTGGACCACAGCAGACCACAGCGAGGCGATAAGCTGGGATGCAAACATGGTGCGAGGAGGAACCTTCATGTAGTGGCCGAGCTTGAGATCCTGCGCAAAGTAGAGCGCCTGCGACATGCAGATGTATCCGTAGTTCTTGAACATCATCATGGCGAGAGGTCGGCCGGGCACCATGTAACCAATGATGAATTCAGTCAGAACGTTGAGACCTAGCTGGATGTTCGTGATGGCCTGCACGATGCCGATGGGGATAAGCCAGAAAACGGGAATCAGAATGCAGACGACGTATGCCCAAGCAGGGAAGCCTGTGGGCCAGCCCGCAACGACGCCGAACGACATGGCGACCATGACAACGAAGAGAGCTATGTGTGTCAGCTTAAATCCAGATAGTTTATATAGAGGCGTTGCTTACCAAGGTACCACCAGTCTTCAGCATCGCGGTACTTCTTCATCAAGCGCATGTGTACATCATCCTCCTGGTGACGGGCCAACTTGAACTGACTCCAGATCTCTGTGCCGTGGTAAAGCACAACGTGAACGACGACTGCAGCTACGGCAGCGAAGGACAAGGCGTACGCGAGAGCGAATTGGGTAGGCAGGTAGAGCGGCGAGTAAGCGTTGTATGCAGTCTCATTGAACTGGAAGTTGGCGTCGAGAATGCGAGACACATTGTAGACGGCGCCCGTGTTATCGAACGACTCGGAGCTCTGGACCGGGAAGTAGTCGGCGTACCATGTGCCGGAGAAGTGGATGCCGGAGGAGATGATGACGAAAAAGATGATGATACCGGCAATGACGTTGGCAATGGCGTGGAATGGCGGAATCAGAGGCGAGGTCAAGTAGCCTGAGATGACCGTCCAATCGAAGGAGATGGGCATCAGACCATAGCCCGACAAACCACCAAAGACCTTGTTGACGATCACATTCTCGGGCGCAATCCAGCAAATCCACGTAAAATACGAGAGACCCTGGAAGATCCAACCGGGGAACCAGTACCAGATGAAAGCACCGCTACCGACGATAAGGAACCAGCGGTAGCGGCCGATCTTCCAACCGTTTGTCTTAGAGGGGTCGGATCCAGAGTGATCGTGAAGCGTGTAGAACAGCGCGCAATTGACCAAGTTTGAGGGCCAAATCATGGCCGCAGGCCAAACAAGGAAACGTCGGGCCAAGCCAGCGAGGCCATAACCAGTGCAGAGTGTGGTGACGCCGAAAAGCAGCTGGAATGCCCAACCGAAGTGCTGCTTGTAGAAGAGTTGCTGGGCAAGCAGGACATCGGTCGCGTACAAGACACCGCCTCCATACGCAGCCTGTGCGATCGTATTAGCACTGTCATGAAATGTGTACAGCCGTTGCATCTCCTTGGCGCCTGAGATCTCAGAGCTTGGCTATCGCCACATAGGGGATTTCCCAAGAAGTCCTGTCATGTTTGGTGATTCGCACTTACATTAGACATAGCAACAATGATAACGTGCTCCTTGTAGTTGAATTTTCCGGGCCTGAGGTTGAACTTGATACCGAAGACATTTTGTTCCTTATCAGGCATAACCAAATCCCAGCCCTTGCCGATGGGGTACGCAATAAGCTGGACGACGTATGTCGTGATTGTGACGCTGGGGTTTCGAAGCGAAAACAGCATGTTGACACCGGAGCCGACAGTGCAGAGCAACAAGCCAATGACCCAGGCGCGGATCGTGTTGGCAGGCAAATCGACATCATAATTTCTTACCACTGCGCGGACCTGTGCAGCACCAAGTCAGCGATTTGAACGGTTTCCTTACTCGCCCTGGCCTCCTTCTGCGCTTTTTCGTCCCATGTTCTGCGCGCAGAGACCTCCTTCTCACGTACCTCGGGATAGGGCGAGTTGTCCTCCATAAGAGCCTGCTCGATCTCGAGTCCCTTCTCGGCGTTCCCCGTGGCGAGTGCTGTGTCGACATCGTTGAGCTCGTCGATTGGCATATTCGGGTCGAGCTTGTGCGCCTTCTCGAACTGAGCCAGAGCCTTCAAGGGCTCAATACCGGTGGCCTCGGCATCGTCTTCCAGGGCGGGGTACGGCGTGATCTCCTCGGGCTCGCCGCGCTTGCGAAAAAAGGACGGCATCGTGATCGTTGGGCGAGGGCGTCGTGTCCCTCTCTCCTTCGCTCTACTTTCGACAGAGTAGAATGAAAGATGAGAGATTGCAACGCCGATTGCGGATGGGTTGAAGGGCGACGATGGTCGAGATAAGCAGCGGACGAAAAGAAGGCCCCAAGGCCACAACGGGACTGGGAGACTGCGGGCGCCAAGGGCTTTTTTCAATTAATCAAGCGAGAGGATGGCGGCGACGGTGGTGCCGGTCGGCAGTCTGCAGGCTAAGATGCGTGATGTGACAAGGACTGAGCCAGCCAACAAGCCAGTCAAAATCCCACTTTCCGCAGATCACCACGAGAGCGCGATCCTCTGGCTTGTGGTATCTGGGGGAGGTGTCGGTCTGGTGGTTCCTGAAGGGTCTGCTGCTGGGAGAAGAGTGCGCTTCACGGCTGAATAGAGGAGCCGTGGAGACAATGGCACGGCACAACCAACAGCAGCGGGAGAGGGTGAGGCGATTCTTTTTCCTCCCGGCCACCCTCTATCTATCTCCCCATATCAGCGTGGGTGTGACTGCGGGCTCCTCTTTGGGTACTTCGGGCGACGCGTTGGATGGGGGGCCGGCCAAAGGAACCAGAGAGAATTCGGCGCTCTAGCGTGCTATCACGACACAAAAGCAGCCCCGACAGCCCGCAGCTCCAGCGGCCGTTTATTGACCTTCCTCTTTTGGGGTAGCGACAGCCGAGGGGCTGTGGAGGAGGCGAGGGGAAAGAAGAATGGTTCGCCGGGGGTTCGATGGTGACATTGGTTGACAAGACAGGCAGCAGGCTGGTCCACTCCCTTCTCTAGCGACCTCGAGCAGCCGTGCGACCCCCGGAACGCGCTGAAGGCCGTCTCTATCGATTGACGCCTCGGTGGCTCGCTCCTTATTTTGGCGGGCTAGAAGGGGTCCTTTTGGCACTCTTTGTCGAAGAAACATGGGGATCAGCGGATCACAAAGCCGCCGCCATTGCCCCTGTCACCGATCCGGGAGTCGCTGGGACTGATCATCCGAAGTATCGATTGTTGAAAAGCACGGCCAGATTGGCGAATCAACTGCAAACAGCGTCTCGTCTGAAGTGTCCGTAGCTCTGGCTGTCATCGCCTCGAGCCGGCCCAGCCCGACTGACAGCGTACGAGCTCTCACTGCCCAAGCAAAAGTCTCAGGGAACCGGGCTTGAATGCTCTGACGGGGGCTGCCATCGGTCTCTGGCTGGTGGGATTACGCAGTGTGCCACTGCTACCCGTCCATCGGCCCAGGCTCTAAGCATTGCGCGAGACTTGGCGAGTCACTGAAATGGACCTTCTGTCGAATTGTGCCGCGTCAACGAATCACCAGCCATTCTATTCAGCTTGTGAAAGCTGGGCGACCTGGGTATTCCTGGCTTATCGCCCAAATCGAATGAAAGGACCCGAATGGCGAATGGGAGACCCTAGTGAAAGCTGACAATCTTATTTCCGATGAAGCGGTTTTCCCCCGCGGCCAGTCCCTTCTCAACCAAGACTAGCGTTTGGACGCTTAGACATCGGGATACCTCGGCCCGTAGCCCATTCTTCCATTCAGCATGCTCACCTCAGTGAGGTGAAAGCACAGACCTTGGACTGAATTGCTGACATAATGCAGCAACTCGTATCGAGAATTCAAGTTTGAAGGGTCGTTTGAGTGTAAAGAGGAACTGAATTCTTCTAATTATCACAATGTTGCAGGTGAGCTTCTGTTCGGCTATCTAGAAGCATGCAACATGACTGATCTTGTGTTAGGCACGAAAACATTCAAGGCGCTAAAGGGTCTACCTCCACCGCCGGGCTCTCACCCTTCAAGAGAGTGCAGTAGCTGACAGGCGAGCCCGCCTCAAGGAGTCGTTGGCAACCGGCAAGTCACTCCCCGTCGACACTGCCAACGATGCCCGGCTTCGCAAGGACTTCTCATACGACGAATCCGCCGAGGCCTTGCAGTCCCTCGACGACGAGTATGAAACTCTGTCCGGTCTCCAGGACCCGCGGGTTCTCATCGCTACCTCCCGTTCTCCTTCAAGCAGGCTTCAAGGCTCTTCCAAAGACCTCCGTCTGTTGATGCCAACGGCCACGGTCATCAACCGCGGCACTATGACTTTGCAAGACCTCGTCCGCGTTGCCAACGCCACTGGTCTCACTGACATCGTCCATGTTCACGAACACCGCGGCACCCCGTCGGCTTTGACGATATCTCATCTTCCTCATGGTCCGACCATCAGCTTCAGCCTTCACAACGTCAAGACACGCCAGGACTTGCCAAATGCGCTGCGCGGCAATATTTCAAAGAGCTATCCCCCGTATGTTATACCTCGAGGCTGCTCTCCGTCAATGTACTGACATACCTCACAGATCTCATCTTTGATGGTTTCTCCACGGAACTCGGCAAGCGTGTGCAGCGAGTCCTTCAGCACTTGTTCCCTCCGAGAGATTCATCCATGAAAGCGGGCAACCGAACGGTCACATCTAAGCGTCTGGAGGACGACAGCATCGAGGTGCGCCATCATTTGTATGTACGGACTGGTTACGACCAGCTGGAGTTGTCTGAAGTTGGCCCCCGAGTGACCATGCGGACATTCTCCATCAGGAATTGTACGTTGGAAGAACGGGAGGGCGGCGTGGAGTGGCAAATGAACCACTACACGAGAACGGCGAGAAAGAAGACGGTGCTTTAGATTTGCGACCGCTGTGGGCGATGGAGAAGCTGGAGGCTGCTATTAGCATCAAAAGAATGGAATTCGGATACTCAAGGGAATGAGTCGAGTGAACCTATTAAGGGGTTTCTACCCGAGACCGCCTAATTTTCCTGTGTCTGCGCGGCTATATTTCCTGTGCACTTAAGTACTCCTATTGAAAGCAACAGTAATAATAGAAGTGACGATAATAATAGAAGACGACGATGACGACGAACATAACGAAGACGAAGACGAAGACGACGATGATGACGACGACGATAAAGTAATTATAGAATAGCCACAGGAAAAATAGGAAGTCTCTTCTACCCTGCCCTGCCAGAGGCTGCTGTCGCTATTGTGCGGTGCCATCGTTAGCATCATCTATGTCGTTGTGCTACAATTTTGACAGTCCCAAACGGCATGGCTAGCCAGCATCCTGTGTGTGTGGTCGGAAGCTTTGATATTCCAGCATCTGCTCTTGGACAGAGTCCGAAGATGTTATGCCAAATTTCCCAAGATATTCTAGCTCATGTATCCAGGAACAACTCATAGTCAGATGATGCATCGACGTCGACGAGATGTGTTGGTTTCTGCCGGTGCTACTGCGCAACTGCAGCGCCAAGCCGGGACGGGACCCACCTGCCAGTGGATGGGCGGATCGGCGAGGCCCCCTCAGGGAACCCGACACTCACAGGCGCCGAATGCAGGCCGTAGCTTCAGGTATCTTCAGCTGTCAGCTCCAAATGCCGTCACTCATCATCAGTGGATGGCTGGCCAAACCATCTGAGCACTGGTAGCTCTCTTCCTTTGAGGTTTCCTCCAGCCTGCGTCCAGTCAATGCTTCGGATGAAAACCACAGTCATCAGAACCAAGCTCCAACATCCGTTTCTAACTTGACACGCAATTGCACTGCAGCAGCGGCCAGTAACAAGAGCACCGCAACGTCAGCAGGCGCACGAACAGCTCCACCGGCAAAGTCGGCACCCTGCACAGCCCAAGCTCCACGCAGCAGCACAAGCTTCCATCATAACTGCCCCTGGCCTTGGCAGGAACCTGGAAGTTTGCGACTAAGAGTTCATCGCGATCTCTCCGCTCGCTCGGCCCGCGGGTACGTTACGAGCTAGAGCTAGTCTTTTGGGGCTGAAAGACGTCTTTCTCAATGCATTACCAAACTTGCGACGATTCTGGGCCAAGGGGAGACCTCCGCGCTCCGCCCGGCCTGTGATATGTCGTCATTCATTCCTCATCATCCGGCCTGGCAAGCCGCGCACTTGTATTTCCACGCTCAGCCAGCCGTTTGGAGGTGAGCTATGGAGCTTTGATCTGGTATTTAAGCCTCAGGAGACGGTGATCCCCCATTCTTGGCACACTTTGTCTGGACATCAATCCATCTCATTTTGACTTCCAAGTGAGATCTTACCGTGAAATCGACTCGTGATACCCACTAAGGAGCTTCTACCATACGACCGCCATCATGCCTCTCGCAAGCCATGTGAGTGTCCTGCGTGAAGACATCGCAAGCACCTCCAACTGACAATTCTAGGTCAACCCGGAGGAGATCGTCCAAAGACTCCAAGCAACTCACATCACCCCTCCCGGGCACACGAACATGCGCAGCCATGCCACCTCGGCCCATATCCACCCTTTCGACTCTCGCTACACGTCCCAGATGAACATCCCCAAGTACAAGATTCCAGAAGAAGGAGCTCCGGGAGATACCGTCTTCCAGATGATCAGGGACGAGCTTGACCTCGATGGCAAGCCGAACCTCAACCTGGCCAGGTAAGTCAATGGCCCGGTGCAAATCATCATTCGTCACTAACATCATCAAGCTTCGTGGGCACCTTCATGGAGCCTAACGCAACGCAATTGATGCAAGAGAACCTCGCCAAGAACCTCTCCGACGCCGACGAGTACCCTGCCATGATGGACATGCACCAGCGCTGCATCTCCATCATCTCCCACCTCTGGGGCGTACAACCCGGCGAAAAGGCCCTCGGCTCAGCCACCACAGGCTCCTCCGAGGCTATCCACCTCGGCGGTCTCGCCATGAAGCGCAGATGGCAGCAACGCAGGAAGGAACAAGGGAAAGACGCATCCAAGCCCAACATCCTCATGGGCGCCAACGCTCAGGTCGCTCTCGAGAAGTTTGCGCGCTACTTTGACGTCGAGGCCCGCATTCTGCCCGTGAGCAAGAAGAGCCACTACTGTCTTGACGCGGATCTGGTGAGGGAGAACATTGACGAGAACACCATCGGCGTATTCGTCATTCTCGGCAGCACATACACCGGCCACTACGAGCCCGTCGAGGAGATTTCCAAGATTCTTGACAAGTACCAGGAGGAGACAGGCATCGACATCCCCATCCATGTTGATGCTGCGTCTGGCGGCTTCATCGCCCCCTTCACCCACGCCGGGGCTGGCGGAGGCGCCAAGTGGAACTTTGAGCTTCCTCGCGTGAAGTCGATCAACACTTCCGGTCATAAGTTCGGCCTCGTGTACGCCGGTCTCGGCTGGATCATTTGGCGCGACGAGTCGTATCTCCCGGAAGACCTCGTCTTCGAGCTGCACTACCTTGGCGGCACCGAAAAGTCCTTCACCCTCAACTTCTCCCGCCCTGGTGCGCAGGTCATCGTGCAGTACTACAACCTCATCCATCTCGGCTTCGAGGGTTACCGCTGCATCATGGAGAACTGCCTCTCCAACTCGCGTCTGCTCGCTGACAGCCTCGAGGCGACAGGGTGGTACACCGTCGTCTCTGACATCCACCGCCCAGCGCCAGGGAAGGCTACCAAGGGCGCCGTGAAGTCAGCCGTCAACCAGGCTTCTGCTGCCGTTGGTGGCGGAGAGATTGCACCCGAAGAGACGTCGGCCGACTACGTTGCCGGTTTGCCCGTGGTCTCATTCCGCTTGACAGACGAGTTCAAGAAGGATTACCCGCGTATCAAGCAGGAGACGATATCGCTCATGCTCCGCGCCAGGGGTTGGATTATTCCCAACTACCCCCTGCCGCCCAACGAGGAAAAGATTGAGATTCTGCGAGTGGTCGTGCGAGAGAGCATGACGTTCGACTTGCTTGAGCGTTTGCTGACGGATATCTCTGCCGTCACGGAGACATTGATGGAGAATGACGAGATTGATCTGCAGGTCTTGAAGAAGCACCATGGACGCAGGAAGGTGCGAGTCAAGGGTGACGAGGAGCATGAAAAGAAGCACGGAGTCGGGCAGGAAGTGAAGAGCATGAAGGATGGCATTCACCGTGCGGTTTGCTAAACGCCCACCGAACAGCTTAATACCCTCTGGTCAGTCACTATGTAGACCACCTCAGCTTGCAGAGAACCCAAAAAAGTTTCCTTATTCAATACATAACTTTCACTCAGTAAATCAAAAGCGTTATCAGAAAACATCATTCGGCTCTTTGCCGGGGGTATCTTGACGTTGTAAGTACACGGCGAAGGTAGATTTCTGATTCTCCTTCGCAACCAGTATGTCTGTGACTAACACATTGGGTGATTGGACGCGAACACGATCTCTTCGCGCACTTCTTCCATAATGGAAGCCGAGGGCATGCTTGAGGTTGTCCCCATCATTCATGTCGACACTGTCCAAGAGCACGGCGCCGTCGAAAGCGTAGACTCGCTCGCCGGTTCCATCGTCACGGGCTGCTTGCTGCCCATGGCATGTTGTACCATCGTGCGGCGTCACGGAGCCATGGTATGAAGACTGTCAACGGGGAACGTCTCAATCAGCTGCGGCTTGCTCATCCGACACCGCAGCCTCTGGTTCATTCATTTCCACGTCCTTGTGGCTCTCCTCCACTGGCACTTCCTTGGGCCCCCGGAAGGGCCGCCTTTTTTGTCGTGGAGCGTTCACAGGATAGCGCTTTGCATGGCCGCAGGACTTGCATCTGGTGACCATGACATCCGCCCAAGGCTTCTTGCCGCCCTTGCTTGAGTTCTGGACTGTCGTTACGCAAGTTTGTCCTTCCACTAGGAGGGCGTCACAGTACTTGCACATCATCTGCTTCAGTGCTGAGCTGGGCCGAATTTGGGCCTTCAGAGAGACGGCTCGAATGTCGGAGATGAAGCGGCGAGCAAGCGTCTCGTTTGTGGTGGCATGTTTGTCCTGGGGAGGCTGAGCGTCATCGTGGGGTTTCGCCGCGGTTGGCTTTGAGTTGGAGGTTGTTGGCTGCACCGTTGCTAAGTAGCAGGCGGCTTGATGCAGGTACGACACCCGAGTGTATTGGGGCCGGTTTGACAAGCTCTCGCTTTTTGCCTTTGCCATTTTCGTCTCCCTGCGGCTTGTCCAGCGTTTCAAACAGTGAAAGGCATTGAGCGTAGTGTTGTGAGCAGAGTCAGTCTTGTCCAGGTCACCTTTACCATGAAAGTGGAAAAAAACACTGCAGGGGTTGCATGGATGGTGTAGGTGGCCTTGAGTGTCTCCAGCAGATGGAGAGGTTCTAGGCTGCAGGGCGCAAGCTGTCCCGAGCTGGACCAACCCCAGCGCAAAGGTTAACGCTACTGTGCTTGAGTCTGTATTGGCACTGTACTCAGAAGCGGGTCCTGGTCACATGATGTCGCTGAACTCAGCCTCTCACACGCGAAAGCTTTTGACCTTGGGGCGCCCGCCTTACCTTCGTGTCTTCCAAGTTCCTGGTCCTTCCACATCAACCACGGCGCCTGCCAACTCGCCATCCAACCTTACTTCCTCCCCAATTGCCATCTGAATTTAATTCTCTCGCCTTCCGTGTTTTACGGACCCGGCTAGCGTTTTCTTTCCACGAGCCGAACGACACCATCCGACTTTTTCTTTTTTTTTTTATTCAGCAAAGCTAGGAGCTACCGCGCTGCTAGCCCGTCATCCTCTCCTGATCAACCCAAGAAGCTTGCATCGTCAGCCTCGGGTCTTTCCTTCGCCACAGCCTTCTCGGCCGTTCTTTCAATAATCTCCAGCAACGTCGCCACCAGTAATCGACAACATGTCTGCTGAGGAGGATCTCATCGACTACTCCGACGAGGAGCTTCAGACCAACGAGACCGCGGCCGCCTCGAACGGAAAGAAGGCCGATGCTGCCGCCGCCGGTAACAACGTCGACAAGAAGGGCAGCTATGTCGGCATTCATTCGACCGGTTTCCGCGACTTCCTCTTGAAGCCCGAGCTTCTGCGCGCTATTGGCGATTGCGGTTTCGAGCATCCTTCGGAGGGTCAGTCCTGAGTTTATATACCCTAACCCATCATCATCCCCTCCCCTGTCAGCAAGCGTCCGTCCATCTCGCAAGCCCAAAAAGCCATCGAATTCGCCATCGAGGAAGTACCGAATCAAAATGCGGGAGTCAGCTGGATATCCATCTTTGTACGGGCATTGCTCGACAATCCACCGGTAACAGGTGGATGATACTGCGGTCTTGAGAGAGAGGGGAAAGCGTGACAGCACCCCCCTCCTACCGCGCGAACACTACGGTGTTCTCGAGTACTCTACAGTCGCAATGGTACTGCGAGAGCTCCGCCTCTCGAGTGCCCGACTACTTCTGTGCCACGGTCGCGTGTCGCAATGGTCGCTTTCGCGCCGCAAGCACCGCGATCGTGCCATGCCCTGCCATCGTCACTTGTGACTGATGAGCGTTTCTTGTTTGTGGAGGAGAGTGGAAACATTCGACTCAACATGGCTTCTTTTGCGCAGATGGACGGGCACTTTGCACGCCCTCTACGTCACTTCTGCTCTTGGAACAAATATCTAACATCGGCGCGACCCAACAGTCCAGCAAACCTGTATCCCTCAGGCGCTTCTCGGTGGAGACATCATCTGCCAGGCCAAGTCCGGTCTGGGAAAGACTGCCGTCTTCGTTCTCACCACCCTGCAACAAGTCGAGCCGGTTCAGGGCGAGGTTTCCGTCTTGGTTATGTGCCACACTCGTGAGCTTGCTTTCCAGATCCGCAACGAGTACAACCGTTTCAGCAAGTACATGCCCGACATTAAGACTGGTGTCTTCTACGGCGGAACCCCCATCCAGAAGGATGTCGAGACAATCAAGAACAAGGAGACCTGCCCTCACATCATTGTCGGCACTCCCGGCCGACTTAACGCGTTGGTCCGCGACAAGGTTCTCCGCCTCGGCAGCGTCCGCATCTTCGTTCTTGACGAGTGCGACAAGATGCTCGATCAGATCGGTGAGTCAATGCTCGCTCCCGCCGGCGAGGCTTTATAATAACAAGGATCAGACATGCGCCGTGACGTTCAGGAGATCTTCCGCGCCACCCCCACCCAGAAGCAGGTTATGATGTTCTCGGCCACCCTGTCCGACGACATCAAGCCCATCTGCAGGAAGTTCATGCAGAACCCTACCGAGCACTACGTCGACGAGGACACCAAGCTCACCCTGCACGGTCTCCAGCAGTACTACATCAAGCTCGAGGAGCGTGAGAAGAACCGCAAGCTCAACGAGCTTCTGGATGAGCTCCAGTTCAACCAGGTCATCATTTTCGTCAAGAGCACTCTGCGTGCGACCGAGCTGGATAAGTTGCTGAGAGAGTGCAACTTCCCCTCCATCGCCGTCCACTCCGGCGTCAGCCAGGAGGAGCGTATCCGTCGCTACAAGGAGTTCAAGGAGTTCAACAAGCGTATTTGTGTCGCCACCGACGTCTTCGGCAGAGGTATCGACATTGAGCGTATCAACCTGGCCATCAACTACGATCTGCCCGCCGACGCCGACTCCTACCTGCACAGAGTCGGTCGTGCTGGTCGTTTCGGTACCAAGGGTCTTGCCATCTCCTTCGTGAGCACCGACCAGGACAAGGAGGTTCTTACAGCTATTGAGAAGCGCTTCGAGGTTGCTCTGCCGTAAGTTTTCGTCCACCCTTGATACTATGTGCATATGGCTAACACGTTTCTCAGTGAGTTCCCCAAGGAGGGCATTGACGCCAGCACCTACATGGCTTCTTAAGCAAGTTGCCGGACGGCTGGGCCGGACTGGCCTGTCATTATGTTTTTTCTAAAAGGGTTCTGGTTTCGGGAATTTGCAAATTATGGTTGTCAGTGACGCACAAGAGTGGCCACAAGAAAAGAGATGAAGCTGCTTTCTCCGTGCAGATAAGAAAAGTCCATTGGCCTTTACCGGCCTTTTGCAATTTGTACAGAGTAGTTATCACGGGAATCAAGACTGGATCGCCAAGTTCAAGTTCTCTGCCATGTCATTTGTGAGATGTACTAACACGTTGAGGCTGTCAGCCATGGGGTGATTCACGACGGGAGCAACTATTGTAGCAGCAGCTTTTACTAACTCCGCGCCCTTACAAGCTTCCACCGGTGTTCGCTCAGGTAACTCCGTGACGGTAACTAGTCCGTTGTAGAGCTCCATTGCTCCCGTCTTCGTCGAAGCGCACCCCGGTACATGTTATCGTGAAGGACTTGCCAAAAGGTAGCATTTATTTCTACTCGGTCATGTGCTAATGGTAAGCGGAAGAGATTTTCGAGAAGCATACGGAGGACGTCACCACAAATATCTCCTCAAGAGATTGAGACGTTGTCGGATCACGATCTCGATGATGGAGATATCAACGGAAGCCATTCTCAGACGCTTTATGAAATCTTGGGGGGGCGAGGTAGATTTGCTACCATCCAATGTTCAACCAGTGCCGCATCTGTCGACTGCCGCACTGAACGCAGCGGACTTTTCGGCCCCCATAATGAGCTCCTTGAATACACCGACGGACTTGGAGCTTATGAAGATGGGTTTAAGCGTAGCTATCGTGAGCTTCGATACCGCTTCTTTGTTGCGTTTGATAAGCACGGAAACACCCAGCTGGAACACGACCTTGCTGTGCATTGCAACATCGAAATAACTCGTAAGTCAACCTCACATTCACATTGACTTTTGCTGACGGTCGACTGCGGCACCAGATCTTGGATCCTTCCTCCCTGCCCTCTTCCAGGAAATCAAGGGTACCAAGTGCGTGAAACATCACGCACATAGACACCACGACCGACGGCACCATGATATGTCGTCTTAATTACTGTCGTCGCCCCAAGCAGAGGTTGCCATCGTCATGGATACAGTACATCTAATTCAATTCCTGTATATATTCAATGCTAGTAAAGACTCTCCCCTCTTCAAAGTCACCATAAAGCTCGCTTTTTCTCTGTGGTATATATCATGAAGAATGGCATAATTTCAGCCCCTTCTTTAACAACAAATAAAAGCTGCAAATGCTCTCCTCCGACGTCATTTCTTCAGGTCCAAACCCATAGAGTTGAGAAGAATTATCAAGAACTGCATTAGAGCCAATGTAACACTATTAGGGACTCCTAAGGCAGCCTTGGTCTCCTCCTCCAAGTTTCGATCCGAGTTTTGAAATGGTGCCGGAGTATCTCTGTCAATGGCGACTTTTCGTTGATAGGGTTCCCTGTACCCATTGCTAGTAATGGGTGTGTATGATGCGCCAATTTTTGTTCTCATCCTTGCAGGTTGTTGCAAAAGCGCCATCAGATCTCCAAACTCAGGTTCCTGGGCTTCAATGTATTGAGACCCTGCTTGGAAAATGGTTGAACCTTCCAGGTCATCGGATGACACTGGTGAAGATGGTTCTTCCTTGAAGCTCACTGGGAGCGTGCCTGTCATTTCTGCCGGGGCTTCTTTCGAGTTCTCCAATTCCATGTTGTAGTTGAGATCCTCGGCGATGTTATCCAGCCTTTTCGTGTAACTCGACACCAAAGGTAGATCAACATCCGTGATCATTGGCTTCGAGCGAAACCTGCCGAGACTACGTCCGATATCTCTCATTCTGTTTTTGAGTTTGCCCTCGACCTCCACATGCATGCGAATTGGCTTTCTGCTATGGTGGAACGCGAATGCCGTGTGAAACCTGGGCGGATGAGGAGGTTGATTGTCCAATTCCGTCTCTTCGAGATGCCACACAAGAGCTGTGAAGCCTCCCCCATCAGAGGAAGCTTTTGGGCTACCGTAAAACTTCCAACAGTCGGTTTCCGTTCCAGATTCCGTCTTTTTCCAGCCAACACCACCCACGCCCGCGAAGCCACCAACGTCAATGCTGGGCATTGCGCTCCGCTCTGTTTCATAAGATTTGATAGATGGCTGGCCAGTAATGAAACGCGGGCCATACTTGTCCGTCATTTGGACTTCAAACTTCGTGCGGGGCTGTTCATGATGCCGTTTCCAACGCTTCCCACCCAATTGCTTCTCAGATACCGTGCCGCTCAAAGTAATCGTGACCGTAGCGCTTCGGAGCTTGTAGCCGGTGGGTTGGAAAATGCTGAGATCGATATATAC